TGCGGTAAAATTTGAGGATTATCAATAGGTACATTGTAGCATTATTTGAGGTGTAGTTCTAGGTACATTGTAGTAAAATTATCATTCAACATAGCAACCATGATATAAGATGATAGCAATGATTACAATGGTGAAGTTGTATGGCTTAGGTACATACACTGGGTGAGCGGGTAGCACTAGATACAGTGTGAGTTTAAGGCACTAGGTAGGAAACTATGAAGATCAAATGTGAAATGATGGAAATGTGCAAATGTCGCCACTATCATCATAAAAGGCAGAGAGAGAACAGCAGAACACTACAGGTCTGTAGTGTTCTGCTGCTCTTGATATGGGTCTGTAGTTGTTAACATCTGTGAGATCACCACATTTGTGGACAAGGGGTTACTCTCGCTTTTTTTTTTACAATATCTGGAAAGGTTTGGACTTCAAGTGACTTGTTGAAGAGCAATGCAATGGCAGGAGCTAAAGATCTGGAGGCTTTTTTGTAAATTAAAGTTGGTATCTTCTCAAGGGCTTGGTTTTAAGGGAAAGGATTATCTCATTTACATCAGTGGAATTTGCAGGCTTTAGGTACATAGACTGTGGACAGTTACCTGTAAGATAGTCATTAATGTCAGTACTGGAAGATGGAATATCATTTGCAAGGGATGACCCAATGGAAGAGAAGAACCTTTTGAACTCAGTAGCAGTATCAGAGGCTGTAAGCTGACCATCATTATTGGACAGGAGTGTTGGTTTGTTATTTAAAATCTTCTTTGATCCCAATATTTGTGAAATTGTGCTCTATGTTTTCTTAATGTTGCCCTTTGTTTGGGTAAATTTATCTTCGTAGTATTTAATTTTGGCTCTTCTAATTATTTTAGATAGCAATGATGAGTAATTCTTTGAAAATTCTTTGGAGACGATTCCTAACCTATACTTGTTCTCAAGGTCGTGTTTTTTATTAATAGATTTAAGTATTTCCTTTGTAAGTCAGGGATTGTTTAGCCTTTTATGTGGCTAAACTTACAAACCCTCATTCCTAAATTTTAATACTGTTTTGAGACCCTTCCTAGTAAGCTGTAATATAACCAATGAGCATCATACCAGAAATAAATATATCTTTAATAATCCAAGAGTTAGACATAGTCTATGCAAGCATGGCATGCAAAAAAAGCAACCCGTTCTCGCAAATTTAATAAGTCAATATTGACTTATTAAATATGTGCATAGGTGACATACTTAACATAATAGATACCCTTAAAAAGATTCATAGAAAACACCGACCTTACCTAACATTGTTAGTATGTTAAGATAAGCATCTTATTGCTTCGTAATTACAATTATTACCTAACCTATAATAGGTATAGGTTAAGTAATAATTGTAATTACGAAGCAATAAGATGCTTATCTTAAGATACTAACAAGGTTAGGTAAGGTCAGTGTTTTCTATGAATCTTTTTAGGGGTATCTATTATGTTTAGTAAAAAAAGAAGGCCCCAATATATGAAACTCACTTCCTGGTGAAATAGGAAGTGAGTTCCTATCCACTTCTCTCACCCAATATATTATAATGTAGAAATGCCACTTCATCCCCATAACTTTTTTAATCTCTTTATACTGATGATCGTTATTATGTGAATTTAAATTTTGTTACAATGCGTCTATCATTACGGTTATGTGTCACCTTATGACCTGCGGGAAACACTATGCGAACTTTATAGTGACTTTACAAGAATGTACTATACTCACCCACTAACATACTTGGAGAGGCAATGGATGCAGACTCCACACGTAGGTTAAAAACCATCTATGGCAGAACAAATGTTACCTTAGCGCGGAAAAGGGCGCTGCGCCCCCTACTCAGTGAGTTACCGGACGTTAACGAGGAAGGTGGCGCCGCTCAGTGAGTTACCGGACGTTAACCAGGAAGGTGGCGCTGCTCAGTGAGTTACCGGACATTAACGGGGAAGGTGGCGCCGCTCAGTGAGTTACCGGACATTAACGAGGAAGGTGGCGCCGCTCAGTGAGTTACCGGACAGTAACAAGGAAGGTGGCGCCGCTCAGTGAGTTACCGGACAGTAACCAGGAAGGTGGCGCCGCTCAGTGAGTTACCGGACAGTAACAAGGAAGGTGGCGCCGCTCAGTGAGTTACCGGACAGTAACAAGGAAGGTGGCGCCGCTCAGTGAGTTACCGGACGCTAACCAGGAGGGTGGCGCCGCTCAGTGAGTTACCGGACAGTAACGAGGAAGGTGGCGCCGCTCAGTGAGTTACTGGACAGTAACAAGGAAGGTGGCGCCGCTCAGTGAGTTACCGGACGCTAACCAGGAGGGTGGCGCCGCTCAGTGAGTTACCGGACAGTAACCAGGAAGGTGGCGCCGCTCAGTGAGTTACCGGACAGTAACCAGGAAGGTGGCGCCGCTCAGTGAGTTACTGGACAGTAACAAGGAAGGTGGCGCCGCTCAGTGAGTTACCGGACAGTAACGAGGAAGGTGGTGCCGCTCTTGCTCAGGTAAACAAATAATAACACTTATATTCACACAATACACAAGTGACATGTTAAAGTGGTCACATCTAGGTAAAGTGTGTGTATATGACCATGTATTGAACCATTGTAGCTACACACACACTGCATTTCACCCATAATTAAAAAAGCCTATTTAGTTAGGCTTTACATTTATTGATGTAACATTGTTTAACAGAAGCTAAGTTAATTTACAGGAATCGTTGAAGAAATTTATACAACAATAAGTAATATGTTACTTTATTATAAAATCTGTTGCTTTAGCAACGGATAACATAACATAAATTGACTTATTTACAATGTGGAAAAGTGAGTGAAATTTATTGCATGATGTTAATTAGTTATCTCTTGCTTGTAAATTAGTTGAGACAAGTACAGCTTTTAACCTTATTTTGGAAGACATTCCAGAGTCTAGGAGCCTTAATGTAATTTCGTGATATTTCTGCTTCGGTCGAGTAGTGAACATTTTTATCAGAGATTCATCACTATGCGTTCATCACATAATGTGTTCGCAATAACTGAGGAATTCTAATATTTTGCTTCGTCACTAGGCTTAGGCTCGGCTATATGTGCCTCTGGCAGTTTGTAACGTCTGCTGATATAGACTTGACTAAAAGTTAACTCTGTCAGCAGAACTACTCGCATACTTTGCGTCATCATATAATGGAATGCGAAAAAATCGCGTAATTCAGAGATAACACCATCAATATTGTCCAAGAAATGTGTAAGTACTCCATTCATAATGATGTGCTGCCAGGAATCTTAGCGAAGTATCCAGAGTTTGCTGACTGTAGGTAATGCATGCACATGACTGTAAAGCTGCCGCCCAGTTGGGTGGGTGTGGAGCACATGACTGTAAAGCTGCCGCCCAGTTGGTTGGGTGTGGAGCACATGACCAAAGCTGCCGCCCAGTTGGGTGGGTGTGCAGCAAGACTAGTAATTGTGTGACTCACCATTATTGATATGTAAATGTATTTGTGTACATCTATGTATATGTATTTGTGTACATCTATGTATATATGTAGGTGTATGTAATATTAACAATTGTGTAACTAGCTTCACAAGTTTGTCATTTGCTTAGCTAAACGAACTATGAGGTTCAGTTCCTGAGCCCATTATGTGCCTCTGTAACCCATTCCACCCCTTCCCCCCATGGGATGGGTATGGGGGGTGTATAATGAATACCTGAAATGCAGTACGTATCCCTGTTGTTTCTGTGATACAAGGGGCCAGGCTCCTCATGTATACCCATACATTATGTCTGCCCTCAGATCACCTCCCATAGTCTGCCAGGTATATAAGGTGTTCCCATATATACCCATACATTATGTCTGCCCTCAGATCACCTGCCATAGTCTGCCAGGTATATAAGGTGTTCCCATATATACCCATACATTATGCCTGCCCTCAGATCACCTGCCATAGTCTGCCAGGTATATAAGGTGTTCCCATATATACCCATACATTATGTCTGCCCTCAGATCACCTGCCATAGTCTGCCAGGTATATAAGGTGTTCCCATATATACCCATACATTATGCCTGCCCTCAGATCACCCTCCCATAGTCTGCCAGGTATATAAGATGTTCCCATATATACCCATACATTATGTCTGCCCTCAGATCACCCTCCCATAGTCTGCCAGGTATATAAGATGTTCCCATATATACCCATACATTATGCCTGCCTTGAGATCAACTTATATAATCTGCTAGGTATATAAGGTGTTCCCATATATACCCATACATTATGCCTGCCCTGAGATCAACTTATATAATCTGCCAGGTATATAAGGTGTTCCCATATATACCCATACATTATGCCTGCCCTCAGATCACCTGCCATAGTCTGCCAGGTATATAAGGTGTTCCCATATATACCCATACATTATGCCTGCCCTCAGATCACCTGCCATAGTCTGCCAGGTATATAAGGTGTTCCCATATATACCCATACATTATGTCTGCCCTCAGATCACCTTATATAATCTGCCAGGTATATAAGGTGTTCCCATATATACCCATACATTATGTCTGCCTTCAGATCACCTCCCATAGTCTGCCAGGTATATAAGGTGTTCCCATATATACCCATACATTATCCCTGCCCTCAGATCACCTGCCATAGTCTGCCAGGTATATAAGATGTTCCCATATATACCCATACATTATGCGTGCCCACAGAGAGATCAATATGAGGAAGTATTGGTCAGTAAGGTTGCTACGAGTGATGGGAATAGCGTGTGTGGGTGTTATCGTGTACACCACGGGCAACGCCAGCTACCACCACACTCTCCACTCACGTCATCAACCCCTTCTCAAGCAATGTATGTGTTCTCACCTGTGTGTGTGCCTGCACCTTCACCTGCTGGGCTAACCACCCTCCTGCTTCTTGCTATACCTGCTCTTGACACTAAGGATGGAGCATCACCTACCTACCTTCTCTTTCAGGTGACTTGCTCACTGGTCTCACTATACACTTGGTCCTCACAAGACGATGTTAGAGAAGATTCACAGGTATGTCACCAGACTGGTCCCGGAAATGAGAGGAATGAGTTACGAGGAAAGGCTATAAGGGGGGCTGAACCTCACAACCCTGGAAAACAGAAGAGTAAGGGGAGACATGATAACCACCTACAAAATTCTCAAGGGAATTGACAGGGTGGACAAAGACAAACTCTTTAGCGCGGGTGGAACACGAACAAGGGGACACAGGTGGAAACTTAGTACCCACATGAGCCACAGGGACGTTAGAAAGAATTTTTTTCAGTGTCAGAGTAGTTAACAGGTGGAATGCATTAGGCAGTGATGTGGTGGAGGCTGACTCCATACACAGTTTACAATGTAGATATGATAGAGCCCAATAAGCTCAGGAACCTGTACACCAGTTGATTGACAGTTGAGAGGCGGGACCAAAGAGCCAAAGCTCAACCCCCGTAAACACAACTAGGTGAGTACATCACAATGGTCCACCGTCTAAGTTTCTTCTTCTCACCTATGTTCTGTCATCCTGCCCCCTGTTCATGCTAATTATGAATCTTATATGCCGTGATCATGTCACCTCTTTTTTTTTCTAGGGTGGTGAGGTCTAGTTCTCTCAGCCCTTACTCGTAGCTCAGTTGTCTTACTTTAAGGAGCAGTCTTGTAGCAAACCTCTGGACTTTATCTTGTTTTACTTTGTGCTATTTAGGTGAGGCTTACACGCCGGGGCTGCATATTCCAGTGCTGGTCTAACATTGGTAGTGTACAACGTCGTAAAAGATTCCCTGTCCAGGTGCCTGAAGGCTACACGAGTGTTCGTCAGCTTTGCATGTGACCCTCATATTTCCTGTTATTGTGTGCCTCTCATATTATATATATATATATATATATATATATATATATATATATATATATATATATATATATATATATATATATATATATATATATATATATATATGTGTGTGTGTATGTGTGTGTGTATGTGTGTGTGTATGTGTGTGTGTATGTGTGTGTGTGTGTGTGTGTGTGTGTGTGTGTGTGTGTGTGTGTGTGTGTGTACTCACCTATTTGTACTCACCTATTTGTGCTTGCGGGGGTTGAGCTTTGGCTCTTTGGTCCCGCCTCTCAACTGTCAATCAACTGGTGTACAGATTCCTGAGCCTACTGGGCTCTATCATATCTACATTTAAAACTGTGTATGGAGTCAGCCTCCACCACATCACTGCCTAATGCATTCCATCCGTTAACTACTCTGACACTGAAAAAGTTCCTTCTAACGTCCCTGTGGCTCATGTGAGTACTCAGTTTCCACCTGTGTCCCCTTGTCCGCGTCCCACCAGTGTTGAATAGTTTATCCTTGTTTACCCGGTCGATTCCTCTGAGGATTTTGTAGGTTGTGATCATGTCTCCCCTTACTCTTCTGTCTTCCAGTGTCGTAAGGTGCATTTCCCGCAGCCTTTCCTCGTAACTCATGCCTTTTAGTTCTGGGACTAGTCTAGTGGTGTGTGTGTAGTGGTAGTGTGTGTGTGTGTGTGTGTGTGTGTGTGTGTGTGTGTGTGTGTGTGTGTGTGTGTGTGTGTGTGTGTGTGTGTGTGTGTGTGTGTGTTGTTAAATATAACCGAAAAGGTAAGATTAATAATTCTAACCCGAATTTTCTCAATATTTCTTATGTTTCTTTTCAATCTCGATGGTAATTGAAAAATCAGTTCTCCAAAATTCATTTTTATTTCTAGTCTGAACACGACGCTTGAACGCGCCACTTCATATATTCTACCCACTTGAAGACTCCGAACCAATATAGAAGCATGAAGAGGAAGTGGTGATGCTATGGGCCAATAGGCCTTCTGCAGTTACTTCCATTCTTATGTTTTTATACCCATTGGTTCGTGTTCTGTCTTGTGTAAATGTCAATCACCTCACCCAAAACTTTTATATCACCTTACCCAAATGCGCGTATAAGTATGGATGTGTGTTTGCAGGTTACACAGGCACCGCTCCTGTGCCAGGTAAGCCCACTACAGGCTCACCATAGCCTGTGCTACTTGCCCCGCTCCTGTGCCAGGTAAGTTACGGGCTCACCATAGCCCGTGCTACTTGGAACTTGCTCCGAGTAGCTGAATCTATAACAACATCATACAGGTTACAGTTGTGTGTGTAAACTAGTCTTTGAAAATGTAATAAGTTATTACGAAACGCGTTCCAGCGTTGCGTCAGACTAGAAATAACAATGAATTTTGAAGAACTGATTTTTCAATCAGTTAACAGCGAGAATATATTATGGGATATAAGAAGTGAAACCCACAACAAAGGACTCTGTAAGACCCTTAAAAGATGAGACTAGCGAAGTTATAATGGACGATAAAAGGGCCGTGTTCACACTAGAAAGATTAGACGACATCCTATTATCTACATTAATGTTTGAAGGAGGTGAAGAGAAGGAATTAAGGAATATACACATAAATGTAAAGTGCGACTCAATCAAGAAGAACAATGACAAACTAAAAGACTCAAAAGCTCCAGGTGTAGATGAAGTCTGCTTCTGTTCCACAGATGTGACACTCTTTAACTATTGGGTTCATTACCTCCCAGCAGCACTTGTAACCAAGTCTGAGTCTGTGTATGGCTACTGTAATGTCTCTGGATATCTTTTTGTCAGGCTTGTAGAGTAGTACCCAGTGGCTTGTTCGTACCATATCGCAGTGGATCTTCCTTCCGCTACTTTGGCTCTGTGGCGACTTTTGATAGTTGTATTTTCTTCTTGATTTGCTCCTTAATCTGTGAGAAACTCGGAGGTATTTGAACCTGTACAACAGGTAGAGCAGTGACAGTTTTGCTAGTGAGTCTGCCTTTTCATTACCATCTATGCCAATGTGACTTGGTATCCAATTTAGGGTTATTGACAGCCCTAGATTATGGGCTTTTTTTTCCTATATGTTGAATTTCTGTGATGAGTTGTATATTATCTCTGTGCTGACTGGATAACAATGCCTGGAGCGAAGATTTAGAGTCGGTATGAATGATGACATCATGTAAATTATTCTCAATTCTATAGTTTATGGCCTCCTTCAGGGCATATAATTATGTCTGCAATGTTGAGCATCCACTACTCATGCTACGACATGGTATAAGCATTGCAACCAGAAATTCAACTGAATTTACTTGGATCCTGCAGCCTCTCCGAGACACAAACCAGGATTTTACACAATTCCCCCCTGCACTCGAGCTATATCAATAGGCCGTTTTACCTCTTAGCCCTTACTTCATTACACACAGAAATCACAATAGCGTGATGCATCAAATAAACAAATCAACAAGAGCCGTGACGAGGATTCGAACCTACGTCTGAGAGCATCCCAGACGCTGCCTTACTTCCGTCTGTGGAAGTGTGGAAGGTTCAGTATTGCTGGTGCAGTACAAGACCATCCTGGCTTTTCAGCTCCACCTGGGATACCTCGACTATGGCGTCTTGTTCACGCCTCCGGAGCGTATTCAGTTGTTTGTTGAAGGCGAACATTCGAATCCACATCCCAATAACCAGTAAAATGTGAAGTGACCACATTTGGCGCCCAGCGCGGTGCTAGACTTGTGAGGAAAAATTGGTCACTTCACATTGGCGCCCAACGTGGTGCTAAGAAATGTATTAGATTAAAAGGGTAACTTCACAAAAAGCATCTCCTGTTTTCAGTTCTACGTTGTGGCTTGTTGAGCTTGAAGCCGTTGATACTTGTTTGTGCTATATCTGACCTTTTGAAGGACTTGTCCACATCAACATCCCCAAAATTGTTCAGTATTTTAAATGTTTCAGTGAGATCCGGCCTGTTATGTCTGGTTTGGTGTGTTGTTAGCCCTGTGGTCCTCAACCTGTCCTGGTATGAGAGGTGACTTAGGTCTGAAAGTTGCACAGCAAATGGGAGCAGCAGTTGACCAGCGACCGTAATAGAGCTTTAAGAGTTCCTGAATCTTGCAGTGGCCACCCTGAAGCCATCAACACAGCCACTCTCCTGGTCAACAAAGGTGTCCAGCAGCTGGACACCATCATAAAGACTATCAAGCAGTATCCTTCCCCGCGATAACAGCTTGACGATTAAATGCAACCTCAGAATACTGAAAAGAATTACTGAAGGGAAAAAAATTGTACCACTTACGGGCTATTCATGCCCGTGCCAACTCTTGGATGGCTTAATCTTTATCACTTAATCATCCGACCGTGCCAGTCCTACCAAACAGTGACTCCTCCCAAGAGATCACCCGGCCTCCATACTGGAGACCTAAGGACTAACCAGCACCCTCACAGTCCCTTACATAACGTGCAGACATTATCCCTGGTCTTATTCGACTAGCGGAGAGGCTTGCCGGACCAGACAATCAAAGATTCGTCAAGGAACTCAACGTGCTGTAGCTAGCCAACAGCCTGGAACCCATCATCGCCCCCGGACGCAAGTCTCACTGCCTCCACTACCACTCCGGAGACTACCACCAGGACGACCACAACACAGTCGATCTATCTCAACACAGACTTCAGAACCACCCAAGATCCGGGCGGCACAAAGAGAGATATTTCCCTCTCCAGCTCCCAACACGCCCACCATCACCATCTCAACAGATGTGCTGTCTACAAATACTAACAGCACCACCAACGCTCTTGAAATAGCTTCTACCACTAATCCCCGACACCTGAGCCTACCTCAGGCTGCGAGACGAAAGACAAAACCACCAACTACAGATGTTAGGGACTCCTCAGACGAGGAAATCCCAGTAAGAGCTCCACCGCTGCAGCACAAATACGACACCTACTGGGTACAAGACTCATGGAGACCACCTCACCAGACTCCGACGACAGCACGGCCATATCAACTTGCAGCAAGGCTCAGCCAAAGAATAAACGGAAGACCGAATCTGAATCTGACCTAGAGGTCTACACTAACCCACCAGCTCCATGACTGGTACAGCCAGCCCCATCTCCAGATCTCCAGTATCAGCTATTGATACAGATAATGTATCAATAATGGCTCCAAAGAGCCTCCACTTACGGGCTCACCATAGCTCACCGTGCTGTTTGGAACCTTTTGTTCTGAGCAGCTGAATCTAAAACAACAACAACAACGACACACGTGGTCTAGCTTGTCCTTGACCCGTCGGTGCGTAAATAACTTTCTTCTAGTACGATATACAATCAATTGCACCGCGAAAGCTCACTAGGAATTCGGTATCTGGCTTATTTCTTGGTTACAAAAAGTACTGTACCTCCAGACTTAGGTGAAACTGGCTTGCCTGGAGCTCGAGGACACAGCGTAGTTTCCCTACCGGATTCTGGTGGCCGAATGCCGAACTCTGGGTGCCCCGCGGAACTCCAGGATTCTGTAACGTCATCATCTGTTAACCAATCACAGCCCCTAGATCTTTCCGCCTTTCATGTGAACTCTGATTCGTAGCAGCTCCTTAGGCATCTCGTGACGTCATGTCTAGTATCCCCATGTCTCGACAGAGTGCGACACTGTTTCTGAAGGGTGGCTGATAACTTGTGGTTACCCCAACCAACCGTTTTAGTTGGAGAGAGCCTATCCTGACCCTCCACTACCATCTTGTAGCAGATTTTCCCCTCTTGGTAGACGGTACCTTTACCCTGGTGACTATTGCGACTCTATTGCAACAGATCCAGATGCCACAGGTCAAAGCTGTTGACCTCTTTTACCTTCTCTAGTGAGGAGGAATCCAATGACATCCAATTTGACATACTTTGGACATCAACTAACGAAGTTAGATCTTGCAAGCACTTATGCAAGCAATAAAGTTGTGCTATGAGAATGTCAACTCTCACACTCTTTCACCAATAGAGTTATAAACCCATGGAACCGCCTATCCGCCGAAGCCGTAAATGCCAAAATTCTGCTGAACTTTTAAATCCAACTTGGAACAAATTGGGGGGGGGGACCTTTGACGAGCCGCTGGCTTCCCGTCCTCATCGAGACCACTAAAGTGTTAGTGACTTTCAAGTACAGGTAAATATATGAGAAAGAGGACCATGTATACAACCTTACAGAGTGTCAATATTGATGACAGTGAGGGAGAAGTAACCTGGTTGACGGGAACACACTCGTGCCTGTTACTGAGTTAAGATTGAGGCACCTCTGACAAGCCACCGGCTTCCTGTCTCCGTCGTGGCCTATAGAGATAGCAGACCTCATGTAAATTCAGGTGACTTCATCTGTGATACAATACAAGACGGTTACTTTAGTTATACCAGCCCGTTCTCTCGATTTACCACTTCGTAAATTATGCAGCTGTTTTGCCTGACCAGAAACGTCCGAACCCAAACCTCACTTGTGTTCCTCATTTGTCTGACACCTCTACACGTCCCCTGCTGCGGTGTCACCGTTTCCACACAGTAGCATCTCACTGCACCTTTTCTAATGTTGTGGTACATGTGAGGCCACCACACCACCGCTACATTGTCTCACGTTGGTCTGATGAACGTTACGAATTTGTTTTTAGCTATAATTTGACATATAGCATATGATATAGAGACTCAAACATACATGACAGACTCCCACATCTAAGCTGCTAATAGAAATGCCCTGAGATCTTTCTAGCCTTGACCTTCTGAGCTTGTCGGCAGTACACTTGGAGGAGAGCTCAACGGAGGTGATGCTAACTAACGAGACGTTCACGGGGGTCCACCAGGACGACCCAGCACTGGTCAGCTACCTGAGACACCAGCTGGCGCCACCCTCCGCCCTCCCCTACAACCTCACCAACCCGGAGAAGGAGGACTTCTCCCAGTTCGGGCAGTCCTTACACCTCCTTCAGTACCTCCCTCACACCCTGGTAAGTCCCTCCTCCATGTCTTCACTTAGAATTATAATATAATAATCATTTTTATTTAAGCAAAAGTACATACATACATACATACATACATACATACATACATACATACATACATACATACATACATACATACATACATACATACATACATACATACATACACAGGATACAAGAAGATGGTATGAATCATGGATAGGGCAGTACAATGCCTAAAGTCGCTAATACTCAGAGCGTTTCGAACAAAATATGAGATAAAGAAACTAAAAGCCTTAAAACGGTCGCTGTACCGACTAGTCCAAATGGTTGGAAAACCAAAAATTACCTTTATGTCGCCCTAGACAGGTAAAAGCTTGGTTGAAGCAGAAAACTCACACCTAACACAGTCCCCCTAACTTTAACACGTTCTCCTGCGCCACAGAAAACGGGGGTGTTCGTAGAGGTGGGTGCCTTAGACGGAGAATACTTGAGCAACTCGCTGTACCTAGAGCGACACCTCGGCTGGTCGGGGCTCCTCATAGAGCCTTACCCAGTGTCATACAAGCAGCTGCTCAGCAAACACCGCAAAGCTTACTCGGTCAACGCAGCTCTCTCGGTCACCAACGTCTCCTCCAACGTGATGCTCAGGTATAGGTCCCCCCCACAATTAATGCAATTGTGGGGGCCATATGCACGAAATTGTGCACAATTTATTATTGTGCACAATCCTTATTGTGAAGCTTTATTCTGTACGAAATTGTGCACGGAAATTACGTTAGGTATTCCTTATTCAAGCAACTTTTAGTCATCAGCGATGAGATTTGCTTAATTCAAAATTCAAATTCAAATGTTTATTCAGGTAAAGTACATACATACAAGGTGTGATACAAACAATGATGGATTTATAGATAGAGCTAGTACATACAATGCCTAAAGCCACTATTACGCAAAGCGTTACGGGCAGGGAAAACTCTAAGACTAAAACTTAATACTAATTGAGATTAAAGTATAAATTGTGTTGAGAAAATATAAAAATAAAAAAGGGGGGAACATGTTAAAAAAAATACAATTTGGTCGATAAACAGCATTGTTTAAAAATAGCAAACAAGGGTTGACGTTTTAGGGGTAATTAAGGTAGGTTACATGGAGTTAATTAATTACATGGTTAGTTAATTAATTAATTACATGGAGCCTGATTGAAATTACCTACTTAAAATTATCTGCTAGATTAAGGACCTGCCCGAAACGCTGCGCGTACTAGTGGCTTTACAAGAATGTAAATACTGTACTATCCAATGTATTCTCTCAAACCCAATGTACCTTCTTGTATATAAATAAATAAATAAATAAATAAATAAATAAATAAATAAATTAGGTAGTGCTTCGTTATTATCTTAAACTGGTTGAGAGACGTACAGTCTTTAACATGATTGGGAAGGTCATTCCACATTCTGGGTCCCTTGATTTGTAGAGCATTTCTAGTTAGATTAAGTCGTACTCTTGGATTATCAAAAAGGTATTTGTTTCTGATGTGCTTCAAAAGCTTCAAGGAAGTTTTTAAGGTCAGGATTGACATTACAGTTCAGCGTTTTATATATATATGTATAATATCTAACATATTCAGAGATTTGAGTAGGGGGTACCGAGTGATGTCTGAGGCCACAGTTGGATATTGTCCTAATAGCAGTAAATTCGTATAATTCGTAAATATTCCCAAAAATATGAAGTTCCAACATTTGCAAAAGTCTAGAATTTAAAGAACTTACCTAACAGTTTTAAGGACAAAAGTGTTTTAAATAATGTAGATAACGTAATCCCACATTACTCTAAACATTTTTTGCTCATTGTACTTCCGTCTGTCCACTTATGTATACTCCAGACCAGACGGAGACCTCGGGGTACTGAGCCAGTTGGCCGAGGACGGCGTGCCAGTGAAGGCCTTCCCGCTCTACACCTTCCTCCTGGCCCTCCAGGTCTCCGTGGTCGACTTCTTCTCACTCGATGTCGAGGGCGTGGAAGTCAAGGTAAGATGATATTAAAGAAATGAAAATAGTATTTATGTGAGGGTCACCGTCTGATATTACTTGATTTATGTGAGGGCCGCCATCTGCAGTGGCCACGACGGGGACCGGAAACCGGCGGTTTGTCAAACTCACGCTGTTTCTTGTACTACCACACCTCTGTCAATTTATATTGTTGATATAAAACCCGCTACAGTGTACCTTTTTACCTACCTGATTATATTATTATTATTATTACACTGCAGTAGACAATGACACGACACTGAGAGAAATAAACACATTAGACAGTGACTAGACAGTACACCAGTAGCAGAAGAGAATGACTGGACAGTACACCAGTAACAGTAGACAATGACTGGACAGTACATCAGTAGCAGAAGACAATGACTGGACAGTACACCAGTAGCAGAAGAGAATGACTGGACAGTACACCAGTAACAGTAGACAATGACTGGACAGTACATCAGTAGCAGAAGACAATGACTGGACAGTACACCAGTAGCAGAAGACAATGACTGGACAGTACACCAGTAACAGTAGACAATGACTGGACAGTACACCAGTAACAGTAGACAATGACTGGACAGTACACCAGTAACAGTAGACAATGACTGGACAGTACACCAGTAACAGTAGACAATGACTGGACAGTACACCAGTAACAGTAGACAATGACTGGACAGTACACCAGTAACAGTAGACAATGACTGGACAGTACACCAGTAACAGTAGACAATGACTGGACAGTACACCAGTAACAGTAGACAATGACTGGACAGTACACCAGTAACAGTAGACAATGACTGGACAGTACACCAGTAGCAGAAGACAATGACTGGACAGTACATCAGTAGCAGAAGACAATGACTGGACAGTACACCAGTAGCAGAAGACAATGACTGGACAGTACACCAGTAACAGTAGACAATGACTGGACAGTACACCAGTAACAGTAGACAATGACTGGACAGTACACCAGTAACAGTAGACAATGACTGGACAGTACACCAGTAACAGTAGACAATGACTGGACAGTACACCAGTAACAGTAGACAATGACTGGACAGTACACCAGTAACAGTAGACAATGACTGGACAGTACACCAGTAACAGTAGACAATGACTGGACAGTACACCAGTAACAGTAGACAATGACTGGACAGTACACCAGTAACAGTAGACAATGACTGGACAGTACACCAGTAGCAGAAGACAATGACTGGACAGTACATCAGTAGCAGAAGACAATGACTGGACAGTACACCAGTAGCAGCAGCTGTACTATGCAGCCAATGGCTGTATAGTACAGGAATATCAGTAGCCAATAATACGGCATTAAGAGGAATAGCAATAATGAATAGTAAGACAACAAGGCGATACATTCTCCTGGTTTTTATCTTGACCTTCCACTTTCAGGTCCTGAAGACAATCCCCTGGGACAAGGTCAAGTTCCGGCTGTTGTGCATCGAGGTCAACCACATCCCTGAGGGTCAGGAGGCCTTACGGGTCTTCATGGAGTCCAAAGGTTACAAGCACTTGGGCCTCAGAGATGTTGACTCCTGGTTTGGGTACCCGGAACTGTTGGCTCAGACCGCAGCCGGGAATTGATGAAGATATTGATGCCCGTCCTCATCAACAAGAGGCAAATGATCGTTAATCTAGCCACCAAACTCCCTGTTTTTGAATGAAAAACGCTTTACACACGACTCACAACCGATGACGTCCGAACACTTCCGGAACAAGTGCTTCACTGACGACTTTTGTTCGAACCACAACGCTGTAAATGCTTCACCCACGTTTTACAAATACAAATAATCGCCAACAGAACCTAAACACCTAACTTAACCAGTGCCTAAATATGCACAATATGCTAATATATAATAATATTAATTTATATTTGAGAAAATTCCTGTTTTGAATGAACCAGCATGTTAAAATTTTTGAATGCATCTTTGGGGTCGACCGCTGGATGGAATAGCCTTGGTCTGAGGATGGGTTGGCTGTAAATGCATCACCCACGTACTATAAACACCAATAATAGCCAACAGAACCAAAACACCTCATCTAACTAATTTAGTCCTAACTGTACACTAAATTCCATTATACACAAATTTAAATTTTATATGAGAATAATATTGTTTTAAATACACATTAGCTTAAAATTGATGTGTGGTGGTGTGTGTGTGTGGTGGTGTGTGTGTGTGGTGGTGTGGTGGTGGTAGTGTGTGTGTGTGGTGGTGTGTGTGTGGTGGTGTGTGTGTGGTGGTGTGTGTGTGGTGGTGTGTGTGTGGTGGTGTGGTGGTAGTGTGTGTGTGGTGGTGTGGTGGTAGTGTGTGTGTGGTGGTAGTGTGTGTGTGTGGTGGTAGTGTGTGTGTGGTGGTAGTGTGTGTGTGGTGGTGTGTGTGTGTGTGTGTGTGTGGTGGTGTGTGTGTGTGTGTGGTGGTGTGGTGGTGTGTGTGTGGTGGTAGTGTGTGTGTGTGGTGGTGTGGTGGTGTGTGTGTGTGTGTGGTGGTGTGGTGGTGTACTGTATATGGTGGTGTGGTGGTGGTAGTGTGTGGTGGTGTGGTGGTAGTGTGTGTGTGTGGTGGTGTGTGTGTGTGTGTGGTGTGTGTGTGTGTGTGTGTGTGTGTGGTGGTAGTGTGTGTGTGGTGGTGTGTGTGTGTGGTGGTGTGTGTGTGGTGGTGTGTGTGTGGTGGTAGTGTGTGTGTGGTGGTAGTGTGTGTGGTGGTAGTGTGTGTGTGGTGGTAGTGTGTGTGGTGGTAGTGTGTGTGTGGTGGTGTGTGTGTGGTGGTGTGTGTGTGTGTGTGTGTGTGTGTGTGTGTGTGTGTGTGTGTGTGTGTGTGTGTGTGTGTGTGTGTGTGTGTGTGTGTGTGTGTGTGTGTGTGTGTGGTGGTGTGGTGGTAGTGTGTGTGTGTGTGTGTGTGTGGTGGTGGTGTGTGTGTGGTGGTGTGTGTGTGTGGTGGTGTGGTGGTAGTGTGTGTGTGTGTGTGTGTGTGTGTGTGTGTGTGTGTGTGTGTGTGTGTGTGTGTGTGTGGTGGTGGTGGTGGTGTGTGTGTGTGTGTGTGTGTGTGTGTGGTGGTAGTGTGTGTGTGGTGGTGTGTGTGTAGTGTGTGTGTAGTGTGTGTGTGTGTGTGGTGGTAGTGTGTGTGTGGTGGTGTGTGTGTGGTGGTGTGGTGGTAGTGTGTGTGTGTGGTGGTAGTGTGTGTGTGTGTGTGTGTGTGTGTGTGTAGTGTGTGTGTGTGTGTGTGTGTGTGTGTGTGTGTGTGTAGTGTGTGTGTGTGTGGTGGTAGTGTGTGTGGTGGTGTGTGTGTGGTGGTGTGTGTGTGGTGGTGTGGTGGTAGTGTGTGTGTGTCTGTGTAGTGTGTGTGTGTGTGTGTGTGTGTGTGTGTGTGTGTGTGTGTGTGTGTGTGTGTGTGTGTGTGTGTGTGTGTGTGGTGGTAGTGTGTGTGGTGGTAGTGTGTGTGGTGGTAGTGTGTGTGGTGGTAGTGTGTGTGTGTGTGTGTGTGTGTGTGTGTGTGTGTGTGTGTGTGTGTGTGTGTGTGTGGTGTGTGTGTGTGTGTGTGTGTGTGTGTGTGTGTGTGTGTGTGTGTGTGTGTGTGTGTGGTGGTGTGTGTGTGTGTGTGTGTGTGTGTGTGTGTGTGTGTGTGTGTGTGTGTGTGTGTGTGTGTGTGGTGGTGTGTGGTGGTAGTGTGTGTGTGGTGGTAGTGTGTGTGTGTGTGTGGTGGTGTGGTGGTGTGTGTGTGTGTGTGTGGTGGTGTGTGTGTGGTGTGTGTGTGTGTGTGTGGTGGTGTGTGTGTGTGTGTGTGTGTGGTGGTAGTGTGTGTGTGTGGTGGTGTGGTGGTGGTGTGTGTGTGTGTGTGTGGTGGTAGTGTGTGTGTGTGTGTGTGGTGGTGTGTGTGGTGGTGTGTGTGTGTGTGTGGTGGTAGTGTGTGTGTGTGTGTGTGGTGGTAGTGTGTGTGTGTGTGTGTGGTGTGTGTGTGTGTGTGTGTGGTGGTAGTGTGTGTGTGTGTGTGTGGTGTGTGTGTGTGTGTGTGGTGTGTGTGTGTGTGTGTGTGTGGTAGTGTGTGTGTGTGTGTGTGTGTGGTGTGTGTGTGTGTGTGTGTGGTGGTAGTGTGTGTGTGTGTGTGGTGGTAGTGTGTGTGTGTGGTGGTGTGGTGGTGTGTGTGTGTGTGTGTGTGTGTGTGTGTGTGGTGGTGTGTGTGTGTGTGTGTGTGTGGTGGTAGTGTGTGTGGTGGTGTGTGTGTGTGTGTGTGTGTGGTGGTAGTGTGTGTGGTGGTGTGTGTGTGTGTACTCACCTAATTGTGCTTGCGGGGGTTGAGCTTTGGCTCTTTGGTCCCGCCTCTCAACTGTCAATCAACTGGTGTACAGATTCCTGAGCCTACTGGGCTCTATCATACCTACATTTGAAACTGTGTATGGAGTCAGCCTCCACCACATCACTTCCTAGTGCATTCCATTTATTAACTACTCTGACACTGAAAAAATTCTTTCTAACGTCTCTGTGGCTCATCTGGGTACTAAGTTTCCACCTGTGTCCCCTTGTTCGTGTCCCACCCGTGCTGAAGAGTTTGTCTTTGTCCACCCTGTCAATTCCCCTGAGAATTTTGTAGGTGGTTATCATGTCTCCCCTTACTCTTCTGTTTTCCAGGGATGTGAGGTTCAGCTCCTTTAGCCTTTCCTCGTAGCTCAATCCTCTCAGTTCCGGGACGAGCCTGGTGGCATACCGCTGAATCTTCTCTAACTTTGTCTTGTGTTTAACTAGGTATGGACTACAGGCTGGAGCTGCATACTCCAGGATTGGTCTTACATAAGTGGTATACAGGGTTCTGAAAGATTCCTTACACAAGTTCCTGAAGGCAGTTCTTATGTTGGCCAGTCTAGCATATGCCGCTGATGATATTCTTTTGATGTGGGCCTCTGGGGACAGGTTCAGTGTGATATCAACCCCCAGATCCTTCTCTCTATTTGATTCTTGCAGGATTTCCCCTCCCAGATGATACCTTGTGTTCAGCCTCCTGCTCCCTTCGCCTAATTTCATCACCTTACACTTTCCAGAGTTGAACTTCAGCAGCCATTTTCTAGACCATTCCTCCAGTTTATCCAGGTCATCCTGTAGTCTCTGTCTATCTTCATCCGTCTTGATTCTTCTCATAATTTTTGCATCATCAGCAAACATCGAGAGGAATGAGTCTATACCCTCTGGAAGATCGTTCACATATATTAGAAACAGGATGGGTCCAAGTATGGTGGTGTGTGTGGTGGTGTGTGTGTGTGGTGGTAGTGTGTGTGGTGGTGTGTGTGTGTGTGTGTGTGTGGTGGTAGTGTGTGTGGTGGTGTGTGTGTGTGGTGGTAGTGTGTGTGTGTGGTGGTAGTGTGTGTGTGTGTGTGGTGGTGTGGTGGTAGTGTGTGTGTGTGTGGTGGTGTGGTGGTGTGGTGGTGTGTGTGTGTGTGGTGGTGTGTGTGTGTGTGGTGGTAGTGTGTGTGTGTGGTGGTGTGGTGGTAGTGTGTGTGTGTGTGGTGGTGTGTGTGTGTGTGGTGTTAGTGTGTGTGTGTGTGTGTGGTGGTGTGTGTGTGTGTGTGTGGTGGTAGTGTGTGTGTGTGTGTGTGGTGGTGTGTGTGGTGGTGTGTGTGTGTGTGTGTGGTGGTAGTGTGTGTGTGTGGTGGTGTGGTGGTAGTGTGTGTGTGTGGTGGTGTGGTGGTGTGTGTGTGTGTGGTGGTGTGTGTGTGTATGTGGTGGTAGTGTGTGTGCGTGTGGTGGTGTGTGTGTGTGGTGATGTGGTGGTAGTGTGTGTGGTGGTGTGTGTGTGTGGTGATGTGGTGGTGTGTGTGTGTGGTAGTGTAGTATGTGTGGTGATGTGGTGGTGTGTGTGTGGTGGTGTGTGTGTGGTGGTGGTGTGTGTGTGGTGGTAGTGTGTGTGTGGTGGTCGGCGGGTGCCTGGCCGAGCGGTGGCTCACGACAGCATGTGATACTCACCAGTAAGTATTGGCAGTGAATTTATTTTCGCTTTAGAATGCTAGACATAAGCCTCGAGCCACGGAGTTTAAGAAAGTCATTTAATGTTCAATTAACAGTGAATGTTCAAAGTTAGTCTATTTGGTTCATAATGAACTGGACACTATAATTAATAGGAAATAAATAGGAACCTAAATGTTAAACAATATAACTAGTCATACTCTTAATAGGAAGAGTGTCCTTAATAACTTAGACGCCCAGTGAGGGTAAAGGGGATTTTATCATAATTAAAAAAAAATATATAAATTTTTATATAATTTATATATTTTTTTTAATTTTCATATTTTTAAAGCAAAAGCACATCTTATATTTTTATAAAATATGCTTATTTCATGCATATTTTTATGTTATTTTATGTTTTTTGTATATTTTCCACTATACAAAATATGATAATATAAAGAGGACATTTTTTTGAGGGTCAACCAAGTTGTAAATTTATAAACATCAATTCATATATTAACAAAATTTAATTAAGTCAATTTGCAATAGTATCATTAATTTGGTAATGTAAGCTAGGGGAAGCATGTTCGATCCCAATGTATAGCTTCAGTATGTTATCATCTATACATCATTTTGGTGTAATTTCATTGAGTATGAATATAGCCAGAAAGTAGTTCATCATTATTTACAAAATTCACCATCTCCAGTTCCCTCATTTTGGAAACTATTTTTTAAATAAAAAACCTATGGAGTATATCTGTTGTTCCAGGATTACTACAGTATATCTGTTGTTCCAGGATTACTGCAGTATATCTGTTGTTCCGGGATTACTACAGTATATCTGTTGTTC